AAGGTATATGAGTATATGGCTCATAGTAAGACTGTAGTAAAGTACAGTTTTAGCTTTGAGGTCATTCTTGCCTCTCCAGACTTTTATAGTCGGAAATTTGTGAAATTCGCTGTTTTCATATTGAACCAAGCGCCTAAAAGCTGCAACCAGACATATCAAAGGTAAACTGTTAAGCTTTTGCGTTCATTCTAAGCAGCTAGATAATCGAATAACAACAAAACATTATCAATAAGCTTCCGCTACAAGTTTGAGCATATTCAGCTCATTGAGCTTCAATAGAAATACTAAAGCAATACAACGAATTCGATCAATCATATAAGAATGATACCGACGATAAGATAAAATATAAAATCCCTGTACTTATTGAATAGATTAAGTATGTATGATAGAAACGTGGAGTGATTAAAATAGCAGTATCACGCTATATACAGGGGATCACCTCTAACTGCAGAAACCCTGTTTCAAAATTCGGTCAATGCACATCTCTAAAGTTATCGCAATATGTTAGTCCAATTTACTAATTCGACTTTCCTTTATCACAGGCTCAATCTCAGGTGTATAAGGAAAAGATACAGGATTTGGAAAAGAAAATTACAAAGCTAGTCTCAGGTATACGAAATTGATAGCAAATTGTCTTCTGCTCTCTTCTGCTAATAACTTTTTGCCTACCCACAGCCACGCCCAGTTTACAGAGTATACCTCCCGTGGAGGAGAGCGTCGCCTTGACCAATGCCCAGTCGCTGATTGCGGAGCTGCAGGAAAAGCTAAGCCAACAGGAGAAACTGAACGAGGCGCGGCACAACGAGTCCCTAGAGGAGCAGCAACGTTTGCTCGAGAATATCAACTATCTGCAGAGGCAGAACGAGGCTCTGCAGACCGAGCTGATGGCCAAGGATGAGAGTCTGGAGAAGTTCTCGCTGTCCGAGTGCGGCATCGAGAATCTGCGCCGCGAACTGGCGCTGCTCAAGGAAGAGAACGAAAAGCAGGCGCAGCAGGCCAAAGAGATGTTCGAGCAGCAGCTGGCCGAGAAGGCGGAGCAAGTGAGGCAGCTCCGCAAGGAGCTGCACGAAATCAAGAGCTCCTCCGACACGCTGGAGAGCGAGCGGGCGCACGTTACCGATGAGTGTGAGATTCTGCAAACAGAGATTCGCATGCGAGACGAACAGATCAAGGAGCTAAACCAGCAGCTGGACGAAATCAGTACCCAACTGAACGTGCAGAAGGCGGACAGCAGTGCGCTGGATGAGATGCTGACGGAGCAGCAGACGCAAAATGTGGACAGCAAAACGCTGCTAGAAGAGCTGCAGGCGGCGAATGCAGCCCTGGCCAAAGAGAAGCTGGAACTGCAGCAGCAGCTGAGCGGGTTACAGGAGCAGCTACGGGCGAGTGGCGACAGCAACGCGGTGATACAGGAGCAACAGAAGGAGAATGCGCAGCTAAAGGAGGCGAAGGCAGCGCTGGAACAGCAGCTACAACAGGAATCGGAGATAACGAAGGCGAACAGAGCAGAGGCAGCGGAGAAAGACTTGCAGCTGAATCAACTGAAACAGCAGCTGGAGGATCAAGCAAAGCTATATGCACAGCTGGTGGAGAGCCAGGAGCAGATCAAGCGGGAAAGAGCAGCAGAGCAGAGTCAAGCGAGTGAGAGAACAGCAGACTTAGAAGCCGCACTGAATGCCAAGCAAAGCCAACTGGAGCAGCTGCAGCAGCAGCTGCTGGAGCAAGCCCAGCTGCATGCACAGCTAGTCGAAAGCCAAGGGCAGCTGCAGCAGAAGCACGCAGCAGAGCTGGGCCAGACTAATGCCAGGGCAGCCGACTTGGAAGCCACGCTGAAAGCCACGCAAACCCAATTGGAGCAACTGCAGCTGGAGGCCACAAGGAGCGGAGAGCAGGGTGCTCAGCAGCTGGTCCAGCTACAGACAGAGCTCGCTCAGCTGCAGGCCAAGGAGAGCGCAGCTCAGGTCGCCTTAAGTGCTCGTCTGGCGGAGCTGGAGGCCGCGAAGCAGCAGGAGCAGACGCTGCAGGCAGCACTAGCAACGGCGAAGGAGGAGCTTGCAGCAGCCCAAATGCAGAGCATCCAAACTGAGACGCATCTGAAAGCCAGCGCTGAGCTGGAAATAAGCGACGTCAAGCGACAAAATGCAGCTCTGCTAGCCAAGTGTGAGAGCCAGCAGCAGCAGCAGGAGAAAGTGCAGTCGGAGCTAATGGAGGCGCGCACGAGCGCCACGCAGCTGCAAGAGACTCTGAAGCAGCTCCACGGAGAGCTGCAAGGCAAGCAGCAGAGCTATGCAGCGCTGGAGAGCGTGAGCAGCACCCAGCGCTTGGAGCTGGCGAGCGACAACGAGCTGCTGCAGCAAACAAACGCGAGGCTGGAACGGGAGCTCAAAGAGCTGCAGCAGAGTCTGGAGAGGAGCAAGTCTGAGGCAGAGCAGCGGCAGGCGCAGCTGGTGGAGCACGAGCAGCTGGTCATACAAAAAGACCTCGCTCTGGGCGATGCCGGCAGGCAGCGAGAGCAGCTTGAGGCGCGCTGCGAGTCGCTGCTGCAGCAGCAAGAAACGTTGCAGCAGCAGCTGAACAATCTGCGCAGCAGCTCGACGGATTCCAATGCGGAGTTGTTGAAGCTCTCGCAACAGCTGCTGGAGCAACAGCAAACCAACGAGCAGCTCAGCACGAAGAGCAGTGAAGAGCGAGGCGCACTCGAGCGCCAATTGCAGGCGAGTCAGCAGCGCCTCGATGCGCTCTGTGGACAGGTGGAGCTGCTCACCAAGGAGCTCGCCAGCAGCACGGAGCAGACAGCCCAGCTGCAGGGCAAGCTCAAGACCGAGGTGGAGCTGGGTGCCAAGTTGGAGTTGGAGCTAAGCGACGGCCAGCGCAAGCTGGAAGCGGCAACAGGCAAGTGTGAGCAGCTGGAGCAGCAGCAGGAGAAGCTGCAGCAGGAGCTGAACAGCGAGCGGGCTGAGAGTAGCGAGCTGAACTCCAAGTTGAAGCAGCTCGCGGAGCAACTGAGCGAAGCGCAAAAGCAACTCAACTTGGAGAAGGATGCGAGCAGTGAGAAGTGCCTACAGCTGGAACGGGAACTCCAGCTAAGCCGGGCGACCATGAGCGAGTCCCAGACCAACGAGGCAGCAGTCAGACAGCAACTCAGAGCAGAGCTAGAGCAACGAGAGCAGCAACTGAAGCAGCTGCAGGAGCAGCTGAGCGGAACACAAGCAGCCAACGAAGTGGCCCTCAAGGAGCTGCAAGAGAGATTGGAGATAACCAACACGGAGCTCAAACACAAAGAGCAGCTAGCCAGAGAGGACGCCCAGAAGATAGCGGACCTGAAGACCCTGGTGGAGGCCATACAGGTTGCCAATGCGAATATATCGACGACCAATGCGGAGCTCTCCACCGTGCTGGAGGTGCTCCAAGCGGAGAAGAGCGAAACGGCGCACATATTCGAGCTGTTCGAGATGGAGTCGGACATGAATGCAGAGCGGCTGATCGAGAAGCTGCAGGGCATGAAGCAAGAGCTGCAGGACACGCACAGCCAGCTGGAAGCCCAACTGAGCAGCAACAAGGAACTGGAAGCCAAGCTGAACGAGCTGCAAAAGAGTGAGCAGAACTTGCAGGGCACTGCCATTGAAGCCGCTGAAGAACTGCGTCAGCGACAGCAGGCCAATGGGGAACTAGAGGAGGCACTGAAGCAGAGTCAGGCCAAGCTGGCCGAGACGCAACAACAGCTGGAGAGCAGCCAAAGCCAGTTCAAGGCACTCCAAGAGCAACTGCAGCAACTCCAACAGAGCGAGAAACAGCTGCAGGCGGAAGTTGCCAAGTCGAACGAGCAACTGCAGCAAGTGCAGGAGATCAGCGCAGAGCAGCAGCAGGTGCTGCTGCAGAAGGAACAGCTGCTACAGAAAGGCAACGAATTGGACGCCCAACTGTCAGAATACCAGAAGGTAATTGATGAAATGGATGAGGCCTCGAAGGAAAAGTCTGCGAAGGTGCAGCATCTGGAGAACCGTATCAAGGAGCTGGAACTGGCCCTGCATCAAGCTAAGGAATCACAGCAGTTGACGCACCTGGAGTGCCAGCAGCTGACGCGGAAGTTGCACTCTCTGGAGCTTGAGGAGGCACGCGAAATCATGGCATTGCGTGCCCAAGCGAATGGATCCACCAGCAACCCAACTAAGTCAAGCGACGATGCTGAGGTAAGTCTTCGGGTATCCCCTGATCTTGCCGACTCACTCTTTCACTCTCCTTCTCAATAACCCCCGCAGCTGGATACAGAAACCAGCCTGGCCAAGATCAACTTCCTGAACTCAATCATAGCTGATATGCAGCAGAAGAACGATGCGTTAAAGGCCAAGGTGCAGACGCTGGAGACTCTGCCTATAGACTTCACCAAGTGAGACTTATTATATAGATAGGTTCTATAAGTGCTCTATGATGATTCTCTCTCTGTAGACCCCACGCCTTCGAGATGTTGAGCAAACGAAAGCCCGCTCCACGTTTGTTCTGTGATATCTGTGATGAGTTTGATAAGCATGAAACGGAGGACTGTCCGCTCCAAGCTGGCGATGAGCGCGACTACTCGCCGCCTCCCGCCGAGGCCAACAACCACGAGAAGAAGGAGCGAAAGCTGCCAGCTCCACGCAAATACTGCGACTCCTGTGAGGGTAAGCGATCGATCCAGATCTCTACATAGATATATATTTAAATGCATTCCATTTCCTTTCAGTTTTCGGACATGACACGAGCGAGTGCGCCGACGATGAGACCTATTAGAACACTAAGCTAAACTAAGTTAATTTTGTTGGTTGTTGAAACACGCAAACGTATTTTTATAATCTTATAATCCGTGAACCTTAAAGCTGATCAACCTATTTACAACATTTTATACCTCTTCGGAAGCTGTTTTCATGTTTTGCACGACAAATTCTATATTAAAATCTGATTGTGTTTACTTGTTTTGTGTATAGGAAATTTGATATTTTGAATCTGTTTTTAATTCTTATTTAATTTATTTATACAAATAGTGAAAATTTACTTCTATTGTTTCGCAAGTGTTTTGTAATAATAAATGAGTAAACTAAAACTAGTCGCCGCCTTCTTTCTTCTCTTTGATGGCATCCTGCAAGCAACAAACGATATATAAATTAATTAATTAGTCGCAGTAAGTCTGAGCAAATTTGGATTAAACAAAATAAAAATAATATTCATTTTACAATTAGTTCACTTTTAAATGAAAACCCGATACGTGTTCAGTCGAACCTCGCATACTTACTTTAAATCGCTCCTCAAAGAGCGACAATTCTGCAAGCAGGTCCGTTATGGCATTCATGAATGCCTCCTGTGGTGAATAATCCGCCGTCGTCTGTATCCGAATGACGAACTTGTGCTCCAGCGGATGGGGCACCTTATAGCCGGCAAAGAGCACGTTTGGGTCCTTCAACAGTTGGCTGTTGAGCACAATTAATAACTGTACATAATTATTAGTGGCTTGGCATACTTGCGAATCATGTTGCCCAGCGTGTGATCCTCCTTGTTTATGGTGAAAATAGCGGCATTTGTCACCTTCGTGTCCAGTTCCTTGATAATTCTGCAAAGATATCGTCAAATGTGATTCGCAATGTTTTTAAACAAGCTACTTACTTTTTCTCGCCTTCGTAGAGCAGAAACGATTCAAATGTGGGTGGGGCATTCATTTTGTATTTTATTTATAAGCAAATGCAATTCAAATAAAAATTGTTTAGAAAACAAAATCAGTCGTACACAAGAAAATGTAATGCGCGAGTGTTGTATAAGATGCCAAACCCTGCCACACTTAGCAGCACTGCAACTATCGATAGGTCATCGTATTGCTGGCGATAATTCTGTTTAGCGATGATAGTGTTGCGAAAATTCATTTTTTTGGACAGCATTACTAGTTCATAGATATCAAAATATGCGCTGAGAAACATTATTTTATATATGATTATAGATTTTAAATAATGTGGACAAAATTAAAATTTTTAAAGTGCCCCTTACACGCATACAATATAACTACCACTACCACTGCATGCGAACAAAATCCGATAAAACCACTCAAATGAACCACAGCTGATGAAATTCTTGTGTAGTTTCGAATGGTTCAGCACTACTTCGCAGTTTTTTTTTTGCGCCAAACAGGAGCGTTGTCCATTAAGAAGTTTAATAAAATTAACTGCATTTGCCTGTGTCAAAATGAGCGCAACAAACAGCGCATCCGTAAACGCTGCTGACGTGGATGAAGCGAATCCACTGGAACAATCGACCATAACAATGCTTGATGTGCTTGAAGAAGAGAAAGAATTGGAAGAGGAATACGCCGCGGTGCTTGGTGGCTCCGATGAAAAGGAGTGCACCTATGCCAAAGGCGCCATACAGCGTCAGGCACTCTACTCTTGTCTCACCTGTTGCCCGGAGGCACGCGATGACCCAAAGAAGAGCGCTGGCGTATGCCTGGCCTGCTCCTATAAATGCCATGAGAACCATGAGCTGATCGAACTCTATACCCGGCGTAACTTCCGCTGTGACTGTCCAACGCTGGAGAAGCGCTGTGCTCTGAATCCTCAGCTGGAGGCAGTGCAGCCGAAAAATGCAAATAATCTGTATAATCATAATTTCCAGGGCGTGTACTGCAAGTGCAAACGACCCTATCCCGACCCAGAGCGCACGACCGAGGAGACAATGCTGCAGTGCGTCATCTGCGAGGACTGGTTCCATCTGCAGCACATGGAGGCGCCAGCAGGCTCGGAGAAACTGTCAAACGCCTGCAGTGAAATGATTTGCGACTGCTGCATGGAGCGTCACGAGTTTCTACGGGACTACAGCGGCCTGGCCTTGCAGCCAGCAGCTGGGGCCAAGGAGTCCGCAACAGAGGAGATCAACGTGGTGGACAGCCACCCGACCAAGAACGAGCAACAGTCTGAGCAGCAGTCGGAGCAACCTGCCGAGAAACGCCTCAAGCTAAGCGACGACGCATGCCGCCGTCCCAAGTCCTCAAAGGAACACAAAGGTAAGTCGCCAAGCAAGCGTTTCAAGACCATCTCTGCCAGCAACTGAACAATATATTAACACATTTCAATACATAAAGAGCAAATCAAAGTTTTTGCGCCCGTCGCCCAGGTAGACAAAGCCGTGCTTGCGTGAGTTCAGCTTGTGGAAGAAGGTCATGCCCAGCCAGACGCAGGACTTGATGATCGCGATGCGCTCGTTGCGCTGCATGTTCAAGGTGAAGGCCTGGCTCAGCGGAATCACGCCGTCGATGGTGTCCAGAAAGTCGATGGCATAGTTGTAGTCGCTGCGCTTCGACAAGTTCGTCTTGAGGTCGTTACGCGGCAGTCGATACAGCTGGTAGTAGGAGAGATTTTCGATTTGCAAGTCGTTTAGGCCGCGAAACATCTGATTGGGTATGACCCGACCATCGACCATCTTATAGAGGGCACCGCGCGGGCAAATGGCGCTCTCCTCGCTGATGATGAATACTATGGCAGCCAAACGTTCTTCCTCCTTCAGCTTGATTACCTCCGGGTTGCTGATGCTAATCACTTGATTGGCCACAATATTAAATATGGGATCCTAAATTGATTGACATTACGGATGAGCTGAGTTACTGCATCTCTGTATCTCGATCAACGTACCAGCTTAACGTAGGTCTGCAAACTCGGATCCCCAATAAAGGGATCGGGTGCGAGTACCGTAGCCTGAAAGATCTTCGGGCTCTGCACAAAAGGCAACAGTTGCCATTGGTACTGATCGACGCTGTAGAAGTACTTGCGATCCTTCAGACAGTCAGTTGTGTAGCCGAAGGCAATGTAGTAGTCATTCTTAATGGCCGTAATGCGTCCCCAGAAGTACATGCCCGAGAAGCGATTCTCCTGGAGCAGCACGATGAGCGAGTTCTCAATGAGGATGCGCTGCTCCGGCGATAGTTTGCGCCCGCAGTACATCAGGCACTCCAGCCCCTCCGAAAAGTACTCCACATTCATGTTAAGCGACTTAATTTATAACTTAAAAAATAATAGTTGTATTTAGAAATGGTTTATGGAATGTTCTGGCCCCATTTGCTGAGCCGAGCTCTAAACTCATACTAACGTAATATCGTTTGCTTGAACAGGCGCCGCCTTCTGGGCCAACGACTGGCGCAAGGCGCTTTGCCGTTGCGGCAAGTGCTTGGAGCTGTACAAGGAGCAGTCTGTGGAGTTTCTGCTGGATGCCGAGGACTCCGTGGAGGCCTACGAGAAGCGCGGCATGAAGCGCATTGAGGAGAACTCCAGCTACGAGCAGGGCATCCGTGCGCTGGCCTCCATCGATCGCACGAAGCAAATCGATGTGATCACCGAGTACAATCGCATGGGCGACAAGCTGAAGGAGTTCCTCCAGTCCTTTGCAGCCAACAAGAAAGTGGTCACCGAGGACGACATCAAGCGCTTCTTTGCCGGCATGCAAAGCGAGAAGAGCACCGCCGTCAGTCAGCCCTATTTCTGTCGCTAAGCAAATTACCCATAAAGTATTCTATTTATATATACATACATTCCCCGAATGAGTGTACACATGTGGAATTTATTGTACTATCTTAAATTTATGGTCTTTCATTTGTATCATTATTACTATTAGCATGTTAAAACAACAATTCGAATATAAAATGAGATTCGCATAAAAACAACAACTATCTATAGAATTAGCCAAATATCTATATACAACTCGCGACATATACATATACACACATATATATATATATCTGTAAGTATATCTGTATAGATATATACATCTAGACGTTATATGTATTGTCGTTTGGATTCTGTTTGTTGGCCTGACTGGCCATCTCCAGATTGCAGAGCGTCGCCTGCAGATCCATCATGATGTCGTTTGGATCCATTTGCTCTATCGCCGTGTAGTCCATTAGCGTGCTGCTCATGATTAAATCGCTTAGGGAGGGATTCTCGTCCGGCTGCTGCTGGGGCTGTGCAGGAGTAGGAGGAGGCGGTTGCACCAGCAGCTGAGGAGCCTTGACTGCCTGTGGCGCAGTCATGAAATTGGTTTGATATGCTGCTGGACTTGTGGCACTATAGACATTATTGTTGTTGTTATTGGTGTTGCAGTTGCTGTTGCTGTTGCTGTTGTAGCCATTGTTCAGATTGGTGGGCGTTATGCTGCCGCCGTTGAACAGCGTTGTCGTGTTCCAGTTGCTGGCGTTGTTGTTCACACTGATTGTGACATTCAAGTTGTCCTGCTGCTGGTTGAGCAGCTGCAGCAACTGATCCTGGTGCTGCAGTTGCGGCTGCTGCTGGCCAGGAGCAAAGCTGTCCGCTGTGCTGCACCTGGAGCTGGGCGAGGCGGGAAAGTAGCTGTAGTTGTTGTACGAACTGGCCGCCGAGGGGCAGCTGCGCGTGCTGTCCATCTCGTAGAGCAGCTGCTCGGCCTTGATCTCCGGCACGAAGGAGCCGTTGGGACTGGGACTGTTGCCATTGTAGCTGCCGGTGGGCGTCATCAGGGGCGCGGGCGCCGCTGCCACGCCCAATAGCTGATTGGCTGCTGCAAAGTATTGGAAAAAGTTCATTAGCAGACTGTCAATACCAAGGCGAAAACTTTTCGCTTACAACTGAGTTAATGAGCGCTATAGAAACTAAGCATTTAAATGTGGCCAGCCAAGACAACAACAAAATTAACAACAACAATAACAATCAAAATAATTAACAAGGAAAATAACTAAATAGAGCTGTGCCAAAACTTAAAAAGATCACGTAATAATCACATCAACAACAACAAGAACAATTTTGCTTGAACTTACACGACCAAAGATCTGAATCACATAGTTCTCATGGGGCTTTTGAGCTAAACCTATGTAAAGCTAAACGGAAGGATGAGATAATACAAAGTCTTCGGCAAGCCGAAGTGTTTGAGGCGATTCTAAATGACTTGTGGAGAGTTTTACTAATCAAATATACATATGTATTTAAATATATAGATGTGTCGAGGTACATGGAAACGTATTCCTTAAGAGACCGTCTTACATTACGGACCATATACATCATTAACCTAATTTTAAAAGTTGAATTCTTCCTTCTCAATTTAGAATGGCCTTCAACAATAACTACTCGAACGGATCTGTGAGTTTTTAGCAAAAACTTTTATTCAATAAATTCAATTACACACAGCTATGAATGTTGCTCGAATATGGATTCATAAATGTATATTTTATGCATTTTGCCAACAACAAATAAGCAGAACACCTGCTCAGGTATATCTGGTTACTACAAATTTCAAAAACGTTTTTGGTCCACAGGGGGTTATCGGGGTCTGCTTTAAAGGAGGCGACTCGCATATGAATATTGATATATGTAAATATGTATTCAAATGTGAAAGGTCAACAGAGTGTGTGTGTGTGTGTGTATGTGTGAAACTTTCCTTCTACGTTAGAAAGACGCTCAAATGTATGCTATGCCTTTTTCTTAGAGTGTGTGTGTGTGTGTGTGAGTATGTATTGCGGAACTCCTCTGCAAACGCAGAGTGTGTGTGTGTGTGTTGTACTCTTGTAGAGCCCTGTGTATGCTTTGGAGTGTGTGTGTGTGTGTCACCGCATTTGATCAACTGCCGACTTACTTAACATTTTGGACTGTTTCTGATTCTGAGTCTGGTGCATCATGCCGGATAGCTTGCGCTTAACGCGCTCTGTGGCTTTACGCGCGTCGAGGCGGCATTTGTTGGCCAAACCATCTACAAAGACAATTGGGGAGGGTCAATATTAACTGTGTTTTGAGTACCCTATGTGTGTGTGTGTGTGTGACTAGAGGTACACGCATATAATACTGAAAGAAAAGACGACTAGAAACAAATTTTAGATTAAACTGCAAAGAGCATTCACTGTAGCCCATTGGCCTCGGCAAGACGGCGCGCAATCTCATCGGCGTTTAGGAAATCCGAAGCGTCCGCCTCGCCGCCGCCACCATCCTCCCGCTCCGGCTCTGGCGACTTGCTGGTATACAAGGCAAAATGCTCTGCTCCCGAGAGGTCGACGCTGGGATCGAGCACCACGCCGTAGGCGCCCTCGCACAAATTCTTGATGCTCTGGCGATCGGCGATGGCCACCAGCTCCATGTTGCCGTCGCTAATGGGTATATCGGCCAGCTGCAGCGTGCTCAGCGTCTTGCGGTCGAGCGGACGCCCATAGGTCAGGGTGCTGGCATTCGAGTAGCTCTCCGGGCGCAACAGGCTGTTCTCGCTGTCGCCGCCCTTCAGAGGTATATGGATGACGTCGGCGTCCAGGTGGGCGGGCCGCTTGCCCGAAACGCTGCTCGAGCTGCGACCCACTGGGCGGCCGCTGCGCTGCGACGCGCTGTTCTGTGGACTCGAGCCAGGTGGCTGCAGGGAGCGAACCGAGCTGCGGTTCGGGGCGCCCAGGCTGAACTGGTTGCCAGTGGGCGTGGTAGCTCGCGATCCCTGCTCCTGCTCGTCCTCGCTCTTGCTGCTGCGACGGCGCGAGAACAGGCGCGAGAAGAAGCCCTGGCGCTTCTTAGGGGAGGCCGTGGCGGAGCTGCTGGTCGCTGCAGCGGGCAGTCGCTTGGTGGGACTCTGGTCGGGCGTGTGCATTATAATGATAGGGGAAGGGGTGGTGCGCGTGGAGCTCACGCTGCCGTTGCGCGAGCGATTGAGGGAGTGGCTGACGGAGTTCGAGGCGCTCTGCTCGCTCACACTCAGGTCTTGCGAGTTGCGCTTGGGCGGCTTGGGCGGCAGAGGGGGCAGCCGCTTCTCGGGGTCTGGCGAGGGCGTGCGCGGCGGCAGGGGCAACGGCGGCGAGGGGGGCGTGGCTGGCGTTTGGGCTGCGTTCACTTGGATCTTGGGCGCCGGCGGATTGGTCAGCACCACCAGCTCAGCCTCGTCCAGCTGACTGAAGGGATTGGAGACGTGGTAGAGCTGCTCCTTGACCTGGTTTTGTGGCATCTCCACTGGATGCTTATAGGCGATCTGCAGACTCGTGTAGGTCGCAGTCTCGTCGAAGTTCTCGTCAATGTCCACGGAGGCCTGTGCGCTGGCGCTCACTGCCTCCGCTTCGACTTCGCCCACGGGCAGCTCCTTCAGGGCGGCATTCTCTAGAGTATCGCGCCTCGAGGCGCTGCCCTCGCCCCCCTGGGGCTTGTCCTCGTCGTCGAGCTGGTTCGTTATGGTCGTGTTGGCAGTCAGGCTGCTCACGTTTGTGAATGCCGTCTGGGCGGTGCTGTGCGAGAGAGTGGGCGTGTCGCCGTTCTCCACGGTCAGGCTGTCCGTTCTCTCGAACTCGCTGCTGCGCATCCACTCATTGATCTTGTCCACGGTGCTCAGTGGGCGCGCCGGCAGCTGCGGCTGCTGCAGGATCTCCTCCATGGGCGTGGAGGTCTGCGTGCAGTCGTCGGCGAGCTGCGGCAGCAACTGCGGCACCTCCAGCTCGATTTCCATGTCCGGCTCCTGGTCATTGTCATTCTCGATGCCGTCGGTGTACTCCGTTTGCGTGGCGTCCGCCTCATTGGCCTCCGACTCGCCGCGCTGCCGCAGCTGCAGCTTCTTCACCGCGATCTCGAAATCATTCAGAGTGCCCGAGCTCTGCTGCTCATCCGATGAAACCGTGTTCTCGTCGTCGTTGAGGTCGAGAGGCGGGCACGAATACTTCGTGGCCGTCGTCTCGCTATCTAAGGAAAGTATCTGCTGGAAGACGTCCAGCTCCTGCTTGCGCTTCAGCTTGCGCTGCAGGCGCCCGAAAGTTAGCATACCTGGATTGGGATAGTACTCGAAGGGCAGCGCAGCGCTCGTCGCTCGGTCCGAGGGTCGCTCCAGCTGTAGTTCAACCTGACAAGCAAATCAATCAATCGCTCGGTTAGCCTCTGCCCCAGTGGGACTCAGCGCAGTCCACTCACCTGCACGCTGTGCTGAATCTCCGTGTTGCGATATCGCGGCGTCCGGAACACTATGGCCGTCTGCTTGTAAATGTCCGTGGGCTGGAAGTCCGCGTAGGCCTCCCAGACCTCGACGCCCGCCTCATTCGTCTCGAAGAATCGTATCCGGATGTCATCCTTCGAGATCTTCTCGCACAACAAGATGATCTGGTCCCCCCCGCTCAGCTTCGAGGAGCAGCTGCACAGCCGATTGATGGTCAGCTCGTTGCTCTTGCCGTAGATCGGCGACGAGACAACCGGGTCGAGGGGAACGTTGTTGTTGCCCACCTTGATGAAGGCCTGGTAGCAGAGTCGCAGCTCGTACAGATTTATGCTGCTGATGTTGTCTTTGTGGTCGAATTTGGCTGCAGCGATTGTGTGTGTGTGAGAGAGAGAGATTGATCAAGTCCGATGGATCATCGTGGATCCTCCGCTCTACTACTTACCATGAAACGGATCAATATTCTTTTGCTCGCGCAGCATTAAAGATTCACGCACATCCGTCTTCTTCACGCATTGGATGCCCACTTTCTGGAGCTCGAGGCGCCGTTCCTCGGGCGGCAGCTTCTTGCTGTAGACGCCCGACTTGCAGTTGTCCACCTCCTCCTTGCTGACCAGCCAGTGGGGATGCTGGCGATAGGGCTTGTCCCGCGTCACGCACGAGACGACCACCACAACGGGTCCGCTGTAGTCAACAATCTCGATGGTGGGAAAGGTCTTTGCCTCCGGCGTGGAGTTCATGCCGGCAATCGAGCCC